AGGCTGGAGACGCCAGGGGGGGCCAGACTGGGCCGCGCCTCCTCCCCCCACCCCCACCCCCTTTACCTGCTTCAGGCTTCCCGTGAATCAAATGTTCGCAGGAAGCAGGGGAGGGGGCGGAGTTGGGGAGGGGACTTTGGGGAAGGGGTGGAGTTGGGGCGTGGGCGTGGGCGGGGCTGGGGCGGGGCCGGGGCCCCATGGAGTGTCCTCTTTTTGGACACTCAAAATATGGTAACCCTACTATTCATAGTTGTCACTTTATGTAGTACTTTGTTTGGCTCTCTCCTCCTCCCTTGGCTCCTTCAGGGTATGTCTTCCCTGAAGAGTTTAATTCAGGTGATTGGGCATCTGTGTCTGGGCACCCGGGTTAGCCTAGCCTGGTAGTGAGCAGCCACACTGCACAGCCCTGCTTGAGTTACTATGTCCTCACTGGTGCTGTGCTTTCCCATGTGTATGTCATTAGGACTTCTGGCAGCATAGTCAATGATTTTTAGCACTGTCTTCGGGAGTTCCAGAGGACTCTGTCCTTGGCTCCCTCTAGACATAGATCTTGGGTGACCTCATCTGCTCCATCAGTCCAGCCATTGTCATTTTGCTAGGACTCTCCAGTGTATTTCTTCACGCTGGAACTGTGTCTGTGTTCAGTCTTACCTTTGTGATTCTTTCTGCAGTTGCCATCTTGGATGGCTTGCTATCAACTGAAGATCAGCATTTCTGCCTCTGTATTGCTACTGTTCTCCATTGCTGAAAACGTTCATTCTTTTGACAACCCATTCACACGACACAAGGGTAATCTTCTACGCTTCCCTCACATCCAGTCATGACCAAATCTTGCACTTTCTCCCTCCACGATACAATAGTTGACATAGACCTGGTCGAGCTCCCCCTTGTTGGACACACACCAGGCTGCCGTGTTTGGATCCGCGCACTAGATCCTTGTGCTTTTCAGCTCCCCTAGGTCTGGGTAGGCTCCAGGCACTGTTTCTTTCTTTTCAGCTGCAGCCATCCCATTGTTCTGCTTGGGCCACATAACTCAGTTGTTGATGGTCCTTAGTGATTGGCCCATTTATAGGCAGACCCCCAGGCACCAGTCCCTCGCTCCTTGCCACAAGAAGTATGATTCAAGAATACAGTAAAGACCATCACAAGGGTTTTAAACATACAGAGATCATAATCTCAAACAGAATTCGGAGAAGTCCCCCCTGAACCATCACAATAGCACACAAAAATAGCCCTTCTGCTCTCCTGATGGCTAAATCATGTACCCTAATTATCTTCAGCCCCAGCCCACTGATTCTTGCTGGTGCTTTCCTGATACCCACATTGCCTCCCTCCAGTCAGCGCAGAATGTTGCCACTGAAACCATCGTCCTTTCCTGTTGTTCAGACCCTGTCATCCCTCTATTTAAATCCCTTTGCTGGCTCCCCATTGCCCTGCACATCAGGTTCAAACTTCTTGTTCTTACATGAGGGCTGTACCTCACTCTGGCCTTGCCTACTATCCTATTCTGCCACCCCTGAGCTCTGCTAGTTACAACTCCTACCGCTTAATTTGCCTCTCTTTAATTACACATCGGCCCTGGGATGCAATCCCCACCCAATCCGTATTTGCTAACCTGCCACTCTCTCCTCACTCACGTCCTCCCTAAACAAAGAAATCTCCCACATGCCTTCTTGATAAATTAAAAATATCATTTTAATGGAAGCATCAAGGTGTGCAATGCCAAGACAGAGTAACCGGGTCACTACTTTAACCCGAGTGCTTCCTTGCTCCTCCTTCCTCGTTTTTTTTCCTGTTACTTTCAATTGTTGTCACACCTACAATTAGATTGTAAACTTGTTGTCACAGGGTAGGATGCCCCCTCTAGGGAGGTGGACTTAGCCCCCACCTGTGACTAATCAGCTGCTTCTTAGCTGTTGAGAGGAAAAGCCAGTACACAGCTCACTAAGAGGGAGAGCTCTTGAGAGGCTCCTGTAGGAGACCCTGGGTCAGGGAAAGGATCTGGAAGGGGGTTTGCCACACACCAGCTAGGTGAAAGAGCTGGCTGGGGATGCCTGCTGCATAGGCAGCAGCAACAACAACTCTGAGGCCAAGTGGCAGGACCTGGTTTACCTGTCGTGATTGATGTTGAACTATGATTGTATTTGAACCATGGATGCATCCTTCAGAACAAGGAAGGAAATACTGCCCCTGGTGGGAGCTTCATTGACACACCGGACACCAAGGTGGCCCACTCTCTAACATGAGTGGGGAAACTGAGGCAGGGCAGATTCTGACACTAGGTTTGGGGAGACCCTGTTATATTTGTCTTTTATTTTTATTGTAGAGTGTCAGCACAATTGAGGGGCTGGAGCAAAATCTTCTACTTCCTGGTTGCATTCCTCTTCTGCACAAACTCCGTACTTGTGTAACCCAGCAAATTTCAATTCATGCTCTTAACTTTAGGAGGGGAAAATGCAACCAACCCTCAATGCAAAATGGGAGAAAGTCTTATTGTTTTTTTCATTAAACATAGATGAAAATCCAGGCAATGATTGGAACAAATGAGTTTTGAATAAGACCCCTACGTTTCAAAGGCTGAATGTGTTTGAGAGAGATTTTTCCTTGTCAGAATGCTTCATTTAAACTGGTGTTATAAGTTGTATCAGACTCCACAGCACCAAAGTGTTCTGAATTGCTGTTTACAATTTCGACAGCTATTTCCTCCTTCTCCAGCAGAGTCTCTGTCTCCAGGTCGAATGATAAAGGCTGAACAATGTTTGTACCTTCTTGACCTTCCGAAGTTGAATAGCCTTCCTCATTCAGCTCAGCAATATTTTGATGGGCAATTGCTGGAAAAAGTCTGCCACTCTGAAGTCTTTCTTTCGGTTGCTCTTCTTTAGTCTGAAAAATACATTGCTTTGTAACCGGGGGGAAGTAGGAATAAACTGTATTTGAACACTCACTTTAACAGTTGCTTTTACCTTTCCATCTGAGTTTAACTGGAATTTTACTCCAACTGATTCAGAATTTGGCCAGTTTGCACAAAAAAAAATGTCTCTCAAAACCACTGGGTTTTATGTATTTTGCTGCAGAAAATGGAAAAATGCTATTCTAGAATTCTCCTTTTTTGTCCCTATCTTCAGCACAATTTTCATACTCTGAAAACCAGAAAGCTTAACAGCCCAGTCCTGCAAACATCTGTTGTTGAGAGGGATGCTCCTTCCTGTGACATTGATGTCCATGGTTTACTAGCATTTTTCAGAGATGCAGCCTCCACTAGCTCAGATTTTAAATGGGGGGTGTTTTTTAGAAGACAAAACAATCCTATGTAGCAAAATTAAATTACCTTTCTTCTTTCTTCGGCAGAATTTTTTAATGTCCTTCATTGTTAAAGCATTCACTTCCTTCTTTTTGATCTTAAGCTTTTCCAGCTTGGCTGGTGGTTTCTTTAGTGGCTTTTCCAGGGCTTCGCTCTGTGGAAAGACATTTTAAAAAATGACAATATCGTGAGTGTAGTGGGAACTGGCGCTGGAAGGAGCTGAATCTCATTCCACTTGTGCTGTGTCCCTTCCTGCCTCTGTGTGCAATAATTAAGTGATTAACTTGGACATAAAAAAGGCTGGAAGCAGTAACATATTAAAAAAACCAAAGACCCAATTATGCAGCTTACTCCTGTTGATGATCACTTACTGAAGTGAGTAGTTTCACTGTCACATCCATATTAGTAAGGACTGTACAATCAGTCCCCACGTATTGGGGAGATTAAGCAACTGACACTGAAGAGGCTTATAAAAGATTTTGTTGTAACTTTATAATCACTTAAAAAATGGTTTTCAGTATGTGCAAATTAGCAGCCCAATCTTGTAGCTATCTATTGCCGAGTGTAGTGGTTGCTGCTGTGACATCGAAGTCGTGTTTGACAACCTCAGAGACTGAATTCTGCTGTTTATCCCTATAGGAGGCAGTTGTGCAACCCACATTGCCCTGTCGATCTGTCTCTGGTGTGGGCTACCTCCAGGATGAAAGTTCATTCTCCCATGCCTGTTCTCTCTGTGACCTCCCCATTGTCAATAACAGTGGGGTTACTTTGTGATGGGAAAACTGGATGGGGACCAGTTATCAAACAGATATCAAATGGCAACAAGTTTCTGTCACTATTGAATTCAAACTAATAACCTCTGGTGAAAAGCTCTGTATTCTGATACTAGTCCCCTGAGTCATCCAGTCACCAGATTCCATCACAAATAACTCTGCAAGTCAGGCCTCCATGCCAGAAGAATCAAGAATCAATTAGTATGGAGGATGACTCACTTAATGTGACTGAGGTGGATGAGGAAATCAGTAGGTGACTATAATGGAAGAAATTTGATCTACTGATCTTTTTTTCATGCAAACGATGTACCAAAAACTCATGAATAATGACATGTTCAGTTGTCATAAAAACCTAAAATGGGACAAAATGAAGCTCTGAAAATGGTCGTCTTATCATTAATGAAGAAGGCCATTCTAACAGTGTCCAAAAGTGGAAACACTAGAGTACCTGGGACAGAGGCTGGGTCTGATACTGGTAGGGTGACCAGATCACCAAAGACAAAGTAGGTC